TTAAGAAGATGTAGCTATTATGTAAGACATGGCAATGCAAGTCTAGGAAAAGGAGATAATGCTAATTATTGTAAATAGTAAAAAATTCTCCCTCCATAAATAGAATACCAAACAATGGAAAATTATGGTTGGTTATTTTCACATACCAGACTTACAAAATAAAATGAGCATACTCTCATTAAAGTGAGCATACTGTCATTAAAGTGTTGGTGGGAATACCATGCTGTCAGGAGCCAATCTTCATGTCATCTGGAAATGTCTCACATAGACTCCTAATCCAATCTCAAAATATTGGTGAAATGTTTATTTCAGGATCAGTTATCCTACTTCCTATTAATATGGTAAGGAAATGGTCTGATTAATTGAAATTAAACTAAAACAGGTACCTTGTTGTTGTAGCCAATAAGTATGTTTAATTAAAGGTGAACATGTCTCAGGGGCGGCCCATCCATATAGGCAAAGTAGGCAGTCACCTAGGGTGCCAAGTTAAATTAAGTGCCAAATGGTGGCACAATATCATTGAGTGGTTTGAAGGTGGGGGCACCGATTGCATGGTTCGCCTAAGGTGCCAATTGCTGGCAGCTAGTCTAGGGTCACCCCGACACCTTTACTTCTGTCAAAACTCCAACTCAAGCAGAGTTGTGATTAACCCAGGGATTTTTAAGAGGTGTGTGTGTGTGTGTGCGTGTGTGTGTGTTTTGCATGCTTGTTCTTGTTTTCAAGTATTTACATGAATTTATTATTTGAAGATTTTTTTTTTTTTAAATACCAGAAACATTAGGCTGTAATTGCAATCTATGAATAATAATTTAAACCCTTAAGGAAAAGTGAAAAGGAAAGTTATGGAAAAAATCGTGGGTTTTTTTTAATGCCAGCTATGAGGAAAGTAAAGAAGTTAAAGAACTATATAGGGGCATGTCTACACCACAGAGTTAATTTGAAATAACGACAGTTATTTCAAATTAACTTTAAAAGTGTCTACACAGGCAAACCGAAATGCAAAATAAATTTGAAATAGTGGAGTCCTTATTTCCAATTTGGTAAACCTCATTTTATGAGGAGTAACACCAAATTTGAAATAGCTATTTCAAATTAAGTGCTGTGGAGACACTTAATTCGAAATAGGGGGCTTCCAGCCCTTCCCAGTGAGCCCTAGTGGCCACTCTGGGCACAATCAGGAAAACTTACTCTCCTCTGCCCCAGCCCCAGAGCCATTAAAGGGGTAGATCCTGGCCACAGTGCCTGTGCTAGCTCCAAGCCTGCAAGCCCAGAGCCATCAGTGGCCACCGGGGCCCCTGTGAGTCAGAAAGCCACTGCCAGCCAGTCCTCCACCGCTCTCCAGGAGCAGTCTGCCAGCTCCCAGGACCCTGACAGGGGCTGGAGAAGGCAGGCACCTTCCTGGTCCAGGGTAGAGATCGTGGATCTTATTGAGGTTTGGGAGGGATGCCCCCAACGTCCATGATCTCTGCTCTAAACGGACGAATGAGGTCGTCTGTGGTAGGATAGCTGTGCCTGGCCACCAAAGGCCATGTGCGAACCCAGGAGCAGGTTTGCATGAAAGTCAGGTTGGACCGGCGAGACCCCCAACCCTGAGCCTGAGCTTCCCCTCCCCCTTCTTCCTCTTGCCTTCCCCCTTTCAGCTCCCTCCTCCCAGGTTTCCCCTGCCCCTCTCTCACCTCCTTTTCCCAGTCTTTCCAGAGGTTCATTCTACCCCCCCTCCAGTTTTGTTCAATAAATACAGTTTCTATTTTTGAACATACGTGTCTTTTGTTTGACATCAGGAAGGGGGGCTAGGGAGGGGTAAGTGGAAGGACGTGAGGGAGGCATGAAGGAGCCCCCGGTGGGGAGGACTGGGGAGGCTCTGAGGGCTCCTCAGGGTGGATGCTCTTCCTCAGGGCCTCCTGGATCCTGACAGACCCCCGATGGATCCCCCGGATGGCAGCCTGCAGCAAATGCAGCCGGGCTGATGGCAACGACCCCAGAAGATGCACCAGCATGCCCAGGGGCAGCTCTGGCTTCATGTGGCCGAGTGCTGTGGTGTCCCGAGTGCAGGCACTCAGGGCACTCCTAGACAGGACTGCTTTGCTGTCTCTTATCAAGGTAGACAAACAAGCAGGGAATCCTGAGAACTGTCTGTCTGGTATGGGGGTAGGGTCCCTTTAAGCACGGAGCTCAGTTAGCCTCAGGCAGCAGCCCTACACATTCAAGTCCTAACCTGATGCCCTGCCGGCACAGGTTCCGGCCAGTCTTAACTTCGATCCTGGGTCCACTCAGTGTGGATGTGCTATTTTGAAAAATCAAAATGCTATTTCGAAATAGTTTTTGTTTATAGATGCGTTATTTCGAATTAGCTTAATTTGAATTAACTATTGCAAATTATTTCGAATTAGGTTAATTCGAAATAGTGCTGTAGTGTAGACATACCTTTGAAGACTAGTGCAGAAGGAGAATAGGAGTAAAGCTAGCATGGAGGACACAGGACAAGAGCCTGCACAGAGTACAGGGGCATGGCTAGAACCAACTGTCATTGGATACTGATAGAAGGGGAATGGGTGGAATCATGAAGCAGTGGCATCCAAGATGAATGATCGAATCTAGAAGTTGCTGATGTAATAGAGGCTGGGGACATAGGAGTGCTGATAAAATTCTATATTTCTAATTTTTTGATGTCAGTCATATGACATAGGTAATGGTTACAAAGTTTATACTGTGTACTGTGTCAGGGGTTGGTATCTGGTGACTCCTGTGGCTGAAATTGCTGAAGATGACACTTTCCTACCCTGCAGTTGGTAAGGAGAAGGGAGAGATGGGAAGTATTTACAGGTACAGTATCTTAAGTTTCCGATATATGGGTATCCATTGCTATTTCAAACGTATTAAAGTATCACCCTCCAATCTTAATACAGTTCTAAAGCACAATGTGGAATTCTGAAAACGTTTCTGCAATCACCATCTGTATCATGATTGTTTCTTTGTTCTTGCACCATTTTAAGATCCAGATAACTACCCCAATCTGTATTTATGATTAAGACTGTCACAACAAGCTGGTGAAAAATTGCTGAAGAGAAATCATGGTAGACAGTTGAATATAAACATTTGTCCTCTTTTAAAAGACTTGCCAGGCTTCAGTAAGAATTGAAGGTACTCAGCCCCTCCCAGGCCTCTTCAGCACTTTTCAGGATCAGCCCTTATCTGGCACTAATACATGTAAAGTCCTTAATTCTTGCAAGGAAATATGGCTGTGTGTGTCCAGCTATCCCATGGGTGTATTTAAAGATGTATCACCCCTTTTAGTATATATAAGTTTATATGACAGTTAGTAACTGATTGCACTTACGGGTTTAGGGCATTACATCACCAGCAGACCACCTCCCCCATCCTCCCCTGCGGTTTGGAGTCTGTATTCCCAGCTCATAACTGACCCTTTTAATTTTTACATTCAATCCCCACAATAAATTTTAGACATGGAGAATTCAAGTCCTCTTAACACCATTCAAAATAAACAGCTCGTACAGGAACCTTAGCTAGCCTAGCTTTCTCTCTAGGGCAGCTATTTAAAAATGTATTCTTATTCTCAAAATCAAATAAAATTTCAGTTAGCTTTTATTCTCAGGAGGCAGAGTTCCCCACCCCTAATAAATCAACAAGAAAAAACTAATCTGGAAAGCCCTATGCTTTGACAGTATGATTTCGTGGAAAAAACATAGACTTCACAATGTCATCTAAGCTTATTTAACTTGGCCTCGCTTTTTTAGTATTTCACCCAGTCTTTCATTTACATTGTGTTCTATTGAAATAGAAACATCTCAGCCGACAGGACTGCAGTGTTGCTTTATGTATGAGTTTTTGGGACACAAATGCAGTATAGTTTCTGTAGCCAGGCAGCATTCAAATGGCAGCGTTCTTTTTGACTTCTGTCATCTGTATACTAAAAAATATGTCTTCCTCACTTTCTCATTTCTCCTGGCAGATAAAGGAAGAAAAAAAGTCAACATCTAAACATAAGAGATATTTAAGTGTTAGAACAACTATTGACAACATCCCAGGCTAATAATCATCCTTGGTCCCTGGTGTCAGAACTAGTTTAGCCCAGGGTACATCAATTGGAAACGTTATCTAAATATATAGTATCAGACTGTGGGGGACCTCATGATTATGCAACTTCACGTCATGCTGAAATAGACAGTTCAGGAAAACCTGGAAGTGACAGATATACCACAGGCTGCCCACACTTTGGTAGCTTTGGGGAATGAATAAAAGTTTAAATAAGCATGAATATTCAAGATGTCAGATGATTCAATGTCAGTTTACTGCAGCGGTAGTTGAGAGGAGACAAATGACTGATCAATACATACATTTCCGTTCCACTTTAAACACGGTGGCTAAGGAATGTCATGACGTACTCATTATCACACAGATCTGAAAAAGCATTAAATCATTACATCTTAAGTACTGACAGGCTTGTTAGGAATTAATGGTATATAGATGGCATATACTCTTAGGCAATGATATCAGAGTTAATTCTTCCAACTCTTTTCTCATTTCATACCTCCAATTACTACTAGATTTTTCCTCATGGAAGATTTTCTAGAGAATTAGCACATTTAGAGGAGTCAGGATTCAGTCTTGACTATATAACTACGTTTATAAATATTGAATGCTTGTTTACACCTTAATTATAGTGTTAATTTAATATCGCTATAGTTAGAGCTAAAAAGAAACTTTCATTTTAAGTATCCACGTTCAGATGCAAAGGAAGAAAACATCCAAACATTTTTCAGAAGTCTGTTTTAAAACCTCTCCAAATTAAAATTTACTAAACTTACCTCAGAATTTCGTCTTTAGTACAATAGTTAAGTATGAGAATTTTTTGCCATAATGTGAATGTTTGAAGTATGTTTGGTTAAAATTTTGTTTGAAAGCAGGTGTGAAAAATGTTTAGATATTATTCTTTAAAATTTCAAACTTTCCATTAACTTGGCATTGTGTTCTACCCCTAGGCTGCCTTGCAGTGGAGGATGGAATGCTCTGATGTCTCCATGGCATACCTCACAGCACTGCTGAGGCTTATCCGTTAATGTCTGTAAAGTGCTTTGAGTCCTCATATGAAAGATGCTAGAGTATGTATTATTGCTATTGGAACTCCAGTAGTGATGGCCTTAATTTTGTTCTAGGTCTGGGATTAGCAACCTACAGCATGTGTGTCACTTATGGAATGCAAGCTGATTTTCACTGGCACGAGGGAGGGAGCTCAGCACTGCTGCTCTTCCCTTGCGCAGCCACTGGAGAATGCCCTCTCTCCTCCCTGCAGCAGGTTAGGCTGCAGTGGGAGGAGGTAGTGCTGGGGCTGATTTTCCTCAGCAGCACCTTGGCTGGGACTGGAGGCGCTTCTGCCATGGCCACATGGTCCAGGGCCAGCCCAGAATTGCATGGAGGTGGGGTCTCTGGAGTCAGCCCTGGACCATGTGGCCATGGTAGCGGGGCCCTGGCCTATGTGGGCCCTGGCAGTAGCAGTGGGGCCTTCCTTCAGGGCAGCCCGGGACAGTGTGGTCATCGCTGCAAGGGGGTGCGAAGCCACGTAAGGTTTCCTCTCATGCCCAGATCACCCCACACCTCAGTCCCCTCACTCACTTTCCCTCATAAAGATCCCATACTCCCAGCTTGGTCTGACACCCTTCTTTGTTGCCGCACCTTCCCCCTGGCCTTGCCTAACACCCCCATCCTGCTCCTGCATCCACCATTGCTGCTGCAATCTTTCCTGGCCACACACGACACCATCTCTTGCTCCTGCTCGTCCACCTGTTCAGACACCCTACTCCCACCCAGACCTATCAACCTCTCCCCCTTCTGCACCCTCTCTCCCAGATCCTACACCCCATCTCTATCCTACTTGCTGGCAGCCCTGTCTCACACATTGAACCCCTCATTTTTGTCCTTACCCTGGAGTCTGAAGAAGTCCATAAAATCCACTAACTCCAGAACCCAGTAACTTCCCTTCCCCCCCCTGAGAGGCTAGGGCACTGGAGGAGTGAGGTGTCTCATTTGGGGGCCACATCAGTGAGGGTTGGGGATTTTGGGAGGAGTTTTTTGCTTTACTTGTGTGGTTCCTACCTGATTTTTCTGTGGTTGATGACTCTTGACCCCCCCAAAAAAAGTTCCCCCTCCCTGCCATAAATAAAGAATACATGGAAACCTTTCATGCTGGACATATTTTACTTTATTTAAAATGAAGTTCGATAAACTAACATGAGAAAGTTAAAATGCTTAGTCTGTTTCATAATTTAAATTAAACCATTCTCCCTGGCTGCAACTGGTTCAGAAAATGTCACCATAGCCAGCCTGCCTTTGCTTCCCTTCCCCTCTTCCCCAGCACACAGATCTGTGAATAAGTTAAATCTTGGTATGCCAATTCTGAAAGGTTGCCGACTCCTACACTAAAAGGTAAGATCTGCATCTTTCTTTATTAATGAAGCTGCTGTAAGTAGGACTATCATTGACTTTAAAAAGTATCACTGGCACTTGGACCCGTACATACAGGTGCATAAGTCAAATCACGGCACTCCACCTCTGAAAGGTTGCTGACCCCTGTTTTAGGTTGTGCCATTTGTTAGATACAGGAGTGAAAGAAACATTAAGGATACATAAGAGAAATTCTGTGTTAGTTTCTCATTCCACCCAGAGATTCAAGAAGTGTGTGTGAGGGATGACCATTCATCCTGTTTTTAATGGGAGAGTCCCTTATTTAAGCCCTCTTTCAGGTGTCCTGCCTTTAAATAAAAAGAAAAATTGTCTCATATTTCTCTTGCTAGTCAAGTCAGGCTGCAGTCAGTGCAGACACAGCCCACGCTGTGGGGCTGAAGCGCTGATCACTAGCAGATCCCCCCCAGCCCTGTGGGGCTGAAGCCCTGATTGCTAGTTAGGCCCCCCCCTGCTGCAGGAATGAAGCTCTGATCGCTGGGAGCTCCTCCCACAAGGCTGAAGCCCTGACTGCTGATGGGCCCTCCCCTTTTGTGGCTGCAGCTCCAGTCACCGGCAGCTACACTCTTGCCCTGTGGGCTGAAGCCCCAATACCCAGCACCCCCTGCAGGGCTGAAGCTCTGTGTCACTGGGTCTCCTGGTGCCTGGGGCACCCTTAGTCATTCCCCGTGAGGTACAGCCTCTAATGTCAGGGCTGGCTCAGCCTTTCAGGCTTTGTACCCAAGTCAGATTCACCCCCTATTAGGGTCAATACAGCCACTTGGGCCTAGTCACAAATACAGCCCCACTCCCTCAGGGTGGAGACAGTTTTCTGGCCTGGTTCGCGGGTAAGCTCCCCCAAGACTCTAGGGAACTGGATTACAGTGGGGCAGGGAGGTAAGGGGACCCGGGCCCTCCCACTCCACCAGGTCCCGGCCCAGGGCAGCGGCAGCTCTCGCTGCCGGCTGGGCGGGGCTGCGCCGGAACATGCCGAGCTCCCGCAGGACAATCCTCCGACTGGGCCACTTCGCACCCCACCGATGCACCGCGCCGTCTCCAGCAGCCAGTCCCAGTCTGGCGACTCCCTTGCCCGGCATTGTCGCTGCAGCGGCTGGTGCTGCTCTGGGGGCAGCTCTGGTTTCAGGGGCTGTTCAGGAGCTCCTGCCTGAGCTGCTTCCCCTCCATCTGCCCCGAGTAGCCCTCTTTTATACCCAAGCAGTGGGAGCATGCCCAGCAGGCTACAGGGGGTGTGGCCTCCCTGGCCCTCAGAGCGGAGTTAACCCCTTCTGGCCTAGAGCTGGGGGATCTTACCTCGTCACACTCTGATTCCCACTGCCCCTCCCCCCCAATTTCCAGTACCATGCCTCCAGGTTGAAGCCCTGATTCATGGTGCTCACCAAATCCCCAGCATGCATGCACCCTCTGAAGCCCAAATCCATGCTCCCTCCCACCCTGCAAGCCATGAGTGGTGAGGCTCAAACTGGGAACAGCTGAGTTTAACCCTGCGTGCCCCATGCTTTCTGTGAGGGAGAAGCCTCCCGAGTCCCTAGACAGAATCAGGGCCGGATTAACTTTATGTGGGCCTGGAGCCCAACATTTTTGTGCACTGTGGAGCATGACTCAGGGAGGTCAGCTTCTAGAGCAAGGGGCCAGCTAGAGACAAAGGGGCACAGCATGGCAGGGGCGACTCTGCTCCTCCCAGGCCAGTGTGAGGGCATTATTTATAAGCCGGCACTTGTCAGATGTACAGTTGGCTGCCCGGACCTGTGCTTCCACCCTGCCCCTTTCCCTGGAGGGCAGGGCTATGCTGTGACCCACAGCCCTTGACTCAACATCCCCCCTTCTTCCTATGGCCAGAGCCCCACACAGCCCTGCTAGAAGTACAACACCCTGCACACCACCCTTGCCCAGTGCTCCCCTGCCACAGCTGCCTAGAACCCGCACTCCCTAGCCCCCAAACACACATTCTCGCTATCTCACAGCCCAGCCCCCTCAGACCCACTAAAGACCCACTCTCCCGTTTGCTGGCTGCACTCACTGACCCTGCTGGGAAGTGACTGTCTCTGCTGGCAGCGCAGCCAGGGGAATTGCTCCAGCCCCATAACCACTAAATTGTAAGTATATATTTTTAATTTTTTACCTATTATTAATGGTATAATAATGCAGTATTTCTTTTTAATGGGTGCTTTGTCAACTTTGTATTATTTTCAATGTTTGTAGTGCATATTTCTGATGGATTGCCATTGAACTCGCTTAAATCCAAAGCAATTTTACCAGGTGTCCTGTATTCGACATAGAGAAATATGGTCACCCTATACATATATGAATAGTATTTGGCCTTTTTAAGATGTGGAAGACAAGTACACTGATGTACCCCAGCCATGTTATATAGTCCTTCTGGCCCACAGCCTCTTGACTCCTCTGAAACTGCATCTTCATGAAACTGCAGACAGTCCTTTTATTTAGATTACATTAACTGTAGGTGGGTGAAACAAATCTGTGGCAAACTTGAAAAAGGCATGACTGCTTTTAAGACAGCAATAATTTGTTTCCTTGCAGCATGAGCACAGCTTACATACATTTCCAACCCCTGAAACCTGACCAATGCACTCTTGTTTTCATTTCTGGACCTATGTACCTAGTCCACTGCTTCAGTTATCTGATATAACTTTATAGCTACAGCTTATGCAACATGTAGTTTAAACCATATGGTCATTCTTTTATGTAGTGTTTCTTCTCTCTTATTTTTCATTTTCCCACACCCACTCCATTTATTGTTGGCTGCTCTCCCGGCACCTTTCCTACATAGAGGGAGTTGCATAAATAGACCACTGTAGATATAACAACACAGACAATGGTGAAAGGATCTTCTCGACTCTGCTTCAGAGTGGTGTAAAAAGCACATAATATATGGTACATGTCTACAATAGTCTGTAATTACAGAATTTGATCTATAAATAAGAGTAACAATCCTGTTTACTATGATATGGGACCAGCAACAAACTGATTTAAATGGCTACATATTATTGAATGATGTAGCCTTGACTGCTTAATCTGTCTGCAGTCAGTAGGAATGAATGTAAGGTTATGGGGGAAATTAGGAATAATAGAGTACATTTAAAAAAAATCTGCATAATGTTTACATTATCTACCTCATATTCCTTTTATAATGATTTAGGATTGCTTTTCCTCTTCACTTAATTTGCTACTGAATTACATTTAGCACTAATCTACCCCATATTTATTTTATGCAAGATTTACCCTTGTAATAATGGGCCCAGTCTTGCATTCCATGCACATTCAGAACTCCCACTGATTTTCAGTGGAAGTTTTGGTTGCCAAGGAATACAGCATCAGGCCCACAGTATGGCTTATTGCAAAGTTACTGCTCAAGGGATAGTAGTTTGTTTTTATTAAGATTTATCTACATCAACATGTGTTTTAATCAGTTATTCTGTATCAAATCAAGGTCAGGATCCCACTAGAGCAGTGGGTCTTAACCTGGGGTGCACGCACCCCTTGGAGTGCGAGACATGCCAGATTTTTATGATATATCTTAGGTTTAAAGAACTGATCTACCAACAATTTTTAATAAGGGGTGCGAGAACATATTTTGAGAACCAAAGGGGTGCAGACTGCAGTAAGATTTAGAACCACTGCACTAGAGGAAAGATATGAAGATTCTTTGCAAGTGAATACTTGGGAAAGAGAATCAGTTCGTCTGTCTTAAAGAATAGTGCAAATGATTTAAGGGAAAAAAGTGGAGAACTGTTTAGCGGAAGTTGCATTTTGGTGTGTAGGAACAGGAGGGAAGAAAAAGAAACTAAAATAGCTGTTTTGTTGATTTAGTATTTGGAGGATTGTACAAACTATTCATTGGGATGTATCCACTTATGGAATGTGGGCCAAATTCAGAGGTGGGGTAAATGATGTTAACTGTCCCTAAATAATTGTAAGCTTCAGGAGGTAGCTGAGTTAGTCTGTACAGTTAAACTGAAAAAACAACAAATAGTCTGGTAGCACTTTATAGACTAACAAAACATGTAGATGGTATCATGAGCTTTTGTGGGCAAAGCCCACTTCTTCAGATGACCTGAGTGTTGGATGTCTAGGACCCTAACCCCTCTCCCGTCTGCCCTATTTATTTTGGTCCTAGAAATCTAACACTCCGGTCATCTGAAGAAGTGGGCTGTGCCCACAAAAGCTCATGATAGCATCTATAAGTTTTGTTAGTCTATAAAGTGCTACCAGACTATTTTTTGTTAAATAATTGTAAGTAGGTGGAGAGGGGTGTATCTTGCATGCAGACATTCAGAAGGGGAGGATACTGCAGGAAAAGCATTTGACAAGAGAGTGTAAATGTTCAAAGTAAGGAAGAAGAGTTATAATCTAAGCCCTTGGGCACGGGGTGGAAATATGATATCATACCACAGTGTATGCCTC